AACATCCGTTCATTCATTAACAAAATTCTTCATCAAATTCCAGATGGATTTGTTAACAAGAAAAAACAGCAAGTACATTGTATAATGCACTAAAACCGACAGCTTTGGCTATAAGATAAACTCAATACTGTCATAAAGTCAATGGAGAAGGTAATATACCATCTTTCAAAACAGACATAGCTTCACGATCCTGCATCCAGGAAAAAATTGAAAAGTTAACTCATATAAACTGGGTGAAAACTCAAATATAAGAAGAATTCAACAAAAACCTGGGCTTCTGCTCTCTGTCGTTTTTTATGTTCCATTTTCCTCAAGTTCCTTTCCCTTCTTAGACGTTCATATTTCCGACGATGCTCTTCAATTCTTCTTGCATTAGGTTCTACCTGAAATTTTTCAGCCACAGGTGACAGTTGCAATCAACTGATTCAGAAATTAGTTACAGACAAAACAGGGACAAAACAAAATAAAATAAAGAGGGCGGCAAAAGAAAACATCCATACTTGCCAAAAACTGAGTGACCACAAGCCAACTCATGTGCTGAATGAACAATTTGAGTTCCAGATGATTGAAAATACAAGTTTTATTATCAACTATGTTGCAAACTGAGTTCTTAGTGATTGTGATCATCCCCAATACAATTTGACAACCAGTAAAACCAAAAGGGAACTTGAATGAAATGCAAGAAATGATGGTGGGTCATGACAATGAACAAATGCAAACCCCAATCCAATCAGGTCCTCCATACAAAAGGAAAAGTGAAAAGAATTAGGAAGGAAATAATTGAAAAAGGTAATATAAATGTCAGTTTGAAAACACTTGACGCCTACACAACAACTACTGAAATCAAACAGCTGAACAAAACCGTCAAAAACTTGCAGATTGTTTCCAGTTTTGGTTTGGGCTTCATTAGCCAATGGCAATAGATGTGGTTTCAACTCAATCCACATCCACGTAGAGGCATGAAGTATTTCCAAGACTAGTGCGCAAATATTTTGAACTGCACAACTTGATTGGGTGCATTGAGAATGAAAATTTGTCAAAACAAGAAAAGTTCTCATGTATCACAACCTGTTAGATAGAATGTATATGCTTCTCTTCATGGATTGATTATTCTACACACATATCATTCATAGTAAGAAAAAGTCCAGAATGCCAAAACATTTATAGTTACCTTTTTAAGCTCTACTTGAATCTCATCATCATAATCTAGTTTTGATGCCGTCCGTAGATCACTCGCTGCTTCTTCCCATAAGCCCAACATCCCCCTAGCCATTCCTCGTATTTTGTACCCTTTAGATGAATCAGGGTTGATCTTGAAGGAATGAGATTCACAACAATATTAGTCAAACCCAAAATACTTAAACATTATCAAATCCTAGTGCTCCTAAACATGCTTAATTTTGACTACAAAAACCATTCCACAATTTACATTTCAAAAATCCAGGAGAATACCTCTAAAGCTGCATCAGCATCACGAATTGCAGCATTTGGCTTTTTCAGTTTAACAAAGACACTACCTGGAATACAAACACTGCTATTTAAGACAAACCATGGCCAAATGGCATATGCCTGAGCTGATTTCCATGCTTAAGGCTTACCTCTAGTTGCATATAAAATTGCTGACTTCGGATTCAGCAATATTGCTTCTGTGAGATTATCAATGGCGTCATTCAGCTTTCCTGGAAGGAAAAAGAATCAGTAAAGATACAGCTTTTGAGCCGCAATAGATGAAAGAAAATAGGTTTAACTCCAATATCCAAACTGTAAGACGTCAGGCCTATCTGGAGTTGGGTTAACAAACCAATGCTAGGCTTTTGTGTTTATAGCTTTTGAGGACATGTAAAGCCAGCACATTAAAAATTTGCAGCAGAAGAAATTTACCTTCAGAGACTGCATCCATAGCTTTTGACTTTAATTCTTGTGCCAATTCTCGACTCTCCTCAGTTACTTCAACTGAAGAATCTCCCATCTGCAAAAGGAAACAAGAAGCATACAAAAGTTAACAGAAGATAAAAGGAAAGAACGTGAATACTACTAACATTAGGTGTATTCAATGCATTCATCTAGCTGTTTCTAGCAATCACCTTTTGGGCAGGATCATTATCAGGCTGCACAATATTACTGTTATCCAGCTCAACATCTGACTCAACTATATCTTCATCCAGGTTATCATCAGAGGATGAAGATTTCTTGGAATCATTAGTATCTGAAATGTCCGCTCCTTTATGACCCTGCTCGTCTTTCATCTTTAATTATTGTAAACGAAATAAGGAAAAAATCTAACTCAATTGATGATACGCACTTCACACTTGAAACTTCAAGAAGATATATATAGCAAACTGAAATTAGGAGTCTTATAGCCATATAGAGCACTATGAATTAAAATTAAAATCTCACAACAACAATGTCTATAATCCAGTTAGTTCACTCCATGGAACATTAGCTTGAATGCTCTTAATGATCCATCACAAGACGTACAAACTTAGAGAAAGTTTTCATCCAGACAACACATCCTCGCAACTAAAGCATAACAGTTTTTTCAATATTTCATGACTTCATGCACCAACTCCATGTCTAATTATGTTCACCCTTAACAAGTTCAAAGGAAAAGTCAATGGCAACACAAGCCCAATGCAGAGCGCCTAATTCAAACAATCAAAAGGGCTCAAGTAAAATCTCAGCAAATTCTACCCATTTTTCCGGGTCACATTGAATCAAGCCCTGATCATGACATAGATTAGCTATACACAAATTGAATTTAAAACCCCAAATTCCAGCCAATGGCGACCCCAACACTTATTAACAAAACAGGAACTCCATGAAACTACTACTACAAAGGAATCAAAGGAAAATGCACATTCAATTTCATCAAACATAAAAGAACAGATGGACTAGAAGGGCTTACTGATGAATTAGCGGGAGGCGGAATGTGGACACCCAAGCTGGCAACAAAATCGAATTTATAACATCCAAAAGTCAGCCCGAATTAAAACACAAAATCCAAGCAAAAATAATTTATTTGAACAAGGAAAAAAAAAAAAATTGCTCAATCAACACCAAAGTAATCACCTTTGAAGATAATTCTTAAAGAAGGCGAAGGAGGGATCGTGCAGGACTGAAGGGTTAGCTTTACATAGCTGTATGAAGAGCTTTAGTTGCTGAAGCTTCTCCGCATCCATTGGTATGCTTCTTTAGTTTTCTGCTAATCGTCCTAAGTCCAACTTCGTCAGCTCCGAAAGAGTACGAAAAAAAGGGTGGGGATAATTTGGGGGTCTCTATTGTAAATTGCAGGCTTCTTTCTTCAGGACTTTCTAGTAACTTCGGTTCGTAATCTATTGTCAGTGTTTTGTTTTGTTCTTTTTCTTTTTTTTTTTTGGATAAAACCTATTTATGTAATTCAGTTAATGGGGGAAAAAAATTATGGGAGGGACATTATACAAAAATTACAAAAAAAAATGAATAAATAAATTGTAATTTTGACAAACTAATTTCGGTCTTGTCGATGATGTTTATTCTTTAGTACACTTGCACATTTCTAATTTCTTAGCTCGATATGTTAAGAGAATGCGAAATTTTAGGGGGAAAAATGTATCTAAAATTTGTGAATCAATAATTTCATTTATTTAGAAGAAAATTACAAAAATTATTAATAATATGAAGTGTGGCAATTAATGATCATTAACAGGCCACTTTGGACATTAAATGTGATTATGATGCAATCCAAGTTATAATTTGAAAATAATTATTATGATATTAGTACATGCCAAGAAAAAAGTATTAAAAAAAAGGGAAAAATCGTTCCTATTAGAGGGGAAAAAGAAAACGAGACTTCCCTAATTCTTCTTAACAAGTACTATGATAAACAAAACAATATATTACAGTGTTGCTATCAATCAACAATAGCAGTAATTTCAAACAATTTTAGAGTGTAAAAAAAATAAAAGAAATCAAAAAAACCCTAAACAAATACTACAGATTACCTAAAATCACATCTAACCAGCCACAAAAATTAAGCCAAAAGAATACAAAATATATATATATATATGATCTAAAACATAATTTCCTTCGGCTTATGCTTCTGTTTTTTATTTCTTTTCACTTTTGGCCAATGTCACATATTCATCTCCACAGCTAACACTACGTACTAGCAGGGAGAGCAGAAGAACCAGAAGAGTTCACAGAAATACTTCTGCTTCCGGATGCCGGGATGTCACATTCTTTGGATGGGTTTTCAGGAGCAGCATATGGTGATGCATTCAAAGTCCTGATGATAAAAGCAAACTCAAAAAATTAAGGCCTAGCAAGCCATTTTCATTCTGATACCTGAATCTTAGAAAGAAAGCTATTAATAAGTTAACTCCTGAAGCACTTAACTACCACTCAATTACCTTTCCTTGCGCTTCTCCAAGAATCTAGCCAAAGATGCTTTCCGAAACTGAGGCACGCCAGCTACAAAAGAGGAAATTTTGCAGTGCATTATAGCTGAGCTCATAACAATATACTGGTAGAGATAACTGCATTTCGAGTTTCAATATACTTTGAGATGATTGAGGAATTTACCTGCTGGAGATAACTTAGGTTGAGCTGATGATGTACTAGCTTGTTTGGAAGGCTCTGGTCTACTAGGAGGGGATGCCAGGCTCTGAACTGTCCTCATTGAAGATAAACCGGGAGGAAAAATTGTTCTCAATGGAGATGCATCAGTAGCGACAACACCACTCAATGGTGATACATCAGCTGGGAGAACTGCCCTTAACGGGGTTGCATCAGTTGGGAGAAGAGAAGCTGCTGAGCTATGGCAGGTCATAGGAATGGAACTAGGAACACTAGGTTTCGAGATATGTGATTGGTTAACCACAAAGCTATCTATGATAGATGGCCTAACTACTGATGCCTGAACTGCCGGTACTGGCTGGACCGACTGAACTGGAGCTGCAGGGACAGAAGAATTCGAACCCAATGAAGGCGCATTTCCGGCCAATAACATGATAGCTTGAGCCTAGATCCAAACAGTTAAGAAACAAAGGAGACATTTAGACCATCTAAAGAAACACTGAAAGAATCCAGCAAAGCAAAATGGAGAATCTAATTCCTACCTTTTCAGGGGAAATATCATCGTAAACACAGACTGAACCAGCATAGAAGATGGTCAACTGAGCTGGAGCCCCTGAGGGCTTAGAAGTGCTCCTGAAAAACAAATCAGATTGAACTTTTCAATTCACTTTCCACTTGAAAGATCAAATAAACCATCAGAAAATTAGCATCCGAGGACGCACCTTAATTCAGTAGTTCCAACCAAGGGGCTTGAATTAACCACAGGGGCAGAGCTTGTTGTAGAACCAATTTGTCCAACAGATGAAATAAAGGATTGATGAACAGGGGTGGTCAGACTTGTGGGGAGTGGGAGTGTTCTGGCATCGTGAGGACGATGAAGTGACTGTGAATCAAAAGGCTTGGCAAGATAGGAGGTCATACTATAGCGAGCTGCTCCTCCTTGGTTATCAGGAACCATATTCTTCTGGTAAAGAAAATTTAATTTCAATATTTCGAACCAGACTAGATATACAAAAGCCATATCAATAATACAGCTATGCAAAATATTCAGTCATCAAAAAAAGAAAAGAACTTTCCTAAATCTGAAGGGCTAGGAACTAGGAACCATCTCAGATGACAAGTAATACTAAACAAAAATGCACGCAAATAACAACAGAACTTGTACAGTTTCCACACCATCAAATCTCAAAAGATACGAAGAAATATAACTGACCTGCATAACAGAAGAAAATGATTTCTGAGTGGAATCAACAGCCTCTGTTGTGGTTATAGTCACCAATCCAGTTGATGCTAGAGCCTCAAAACCAGTCTTGGGCTTATCATCTTTTGAACCTGGAGCAGCAACAGTACTAGTGCTGTTCAAAGTGAAGAACGGAGAGTTGGTAGGAACCTTATTCGGGAAGGACCACCGCATCATTGGACCTCTAACTGGAGCTGCAGATATGAAACAAATCAACAGAAAGAGACCAAATTAATAAGTCTTCTGAGTTCAGACCTCATTTAATCAAACAATACAGATGTATATGTACAAACAAAGAAACCAGGTAAACATTGACAGAGAAAGATTCCACACATGAGATTAAAAAATATTACCTAATAAGCAACTACCACGCAGTAATTTGGTGAAGTGAAAGTTGCAAAAGGCAAAACAGAAGAGAACCCAAATCTCCTCCTCACTAAGTTTGAAAAAAGTGGAATCTTTAACAAACTTTGGTACCACTTTTATATTAGGGCTCTAGGAGACTCTAAACTTAAAGAACTCAAAGTGCTTGATGAGTGCAGCTGTAAAGGGGGGATGAACATGTTCACCAAAATAAATTATGAATAACTAGGCATCTCATGTTGAATATAAATTATAATATTACCAATGTCTCTGTACTAACTAAAGCAAATTAAGTAAAGAATAATGAGACCCTTCTGGTCAAACAAACTTAAAAAACTAGAATTAAATAATCTGGGGTACTGCAACTTGATTATTTTAATAAAGCCATCATGATTAAAAAATTAATCTTTCTTGGTAGTACTACAACAGAAGAAACAATAGTTTAGTATAAATACAGGAGACTACTTGGAAGGCACAACTAGTTGCATTAAACAATTGTTAATCAAACAAACATATTAATCAAAGGGCTCATGAGGGGCATGTTAGCATATCGAAGAATTTAACTAACACAAGAAACAAGAAAGGTATAAAAAATTTCCACATAAAAGATCTACCACCAAAAAGCAAGCCCAACTAGGAAAGATGAAGGCCCCCCACCCCCCAATCTCTTTACAAACTGAACCAGTAAACTGCTCAAATAAAACTTCATTCTTTATCATTCATTTGAATCATTCTTTGAATAAACGTGAACCACTCCATCAAAAACATTGCAAGAAAAATGGTATATTTACTTCTTCAATACGACAAACCAGAATACAAACCAAAGGTAAATACAGACAACTCCGTTTTTTTACCACGGTAACAGTCCTAGTTGCAGTCTGGCGGAACATATGCCAAAGGACAAGAAAATATTGAAAACCCATGAACTATTTTGGCTTGTTGACTTAAAAGCATGAAAATTTGTTCCGGGATTTCCACAGAAAGAAATTAAGTTAACACTATGTTGGGGAAAAAAAAAAAAAAAAAAGACGTTCTTTTTTGCAATAAGGATCTTTCATCTTGTTCTCCCCTGTTGTTCCGGAATACCAACAAATTAATGGCAAATCCATTTCAGAAAAGAGGATTAATAAGAATCACAGCACAACAATATACCTGGAGGGTCATTTGTTTCTTCAGGAACCTCTTTCTTCACTTTCACAGTCCGCAAGCCCATGAAATCTTGTTCCATTTCTTTTCCTTGACTATGAAATCCCACTTCAGTACCCAGTTCAAAGATGATTCTTCTTCTGTTGAGGAAGAACGTGATTCGAAACTGGAAGTTTCTGATGGGTTTGGATTTTTTCTTATTTTCAATTCTGCGAGAGAGAAAGTAGCGCAGGGGAGATGGAAAATGTGAATGAAAAATGAAAAACAGAAACAGGGAAAGAGAGAGAGAACAATGTGATTTGAATGCGGGCAAAAACGAAATCATATATGTCCAGATCAAATCCTGGCCGTCGGTTGAGCCTTCATGATTGTATAGTCAGCGCTTTTTGTTTGATTCTTTTTCCTTTTTTTATCTTTTCTGGGGTAACCGGCTATAGCCAGTTTCAGATTGGTAGGCCCGTGGGGCTTTTTGGTCATAATGACCAACTTCTCATCAAATGGTTTAAAGTCAACATATAGATAGATTCTGGTGGCTAATTATTGCAACTTCAATAGGAAAAACCCTATTTAGAAGTGATCTATCCATGTAGTAATTTACCTGAATCTTCTAGTGATAAGTGATAACTAACAATTTTATTTCATTATTATTATTATTATTGTCGAGTGATAAGAAATTTTATTTTCCTTAAAACATGATCTAATTCTAACACCTACAAGAATAAATCATGTTTGAGAAAAAGAGTCCATCTAAGAGAAGGGTTCCAAAAAGGATTTCCGCCGAACTAAGAAAAAGAAAAAGTTTATTTAAGCCAACATTTGCTCCCGCGAAATGACTCACAAATGGAATGAAAATTAATACTATGATTGTTTTTTACTTTGATCTTTAAAAAATTATCCCTTCAATTTCTTTGGAAAGATGAAATGGCCTTTTTTTTTTTTTTGAAAATTTAAAAAAATAAATTTTTAGTGTACATTCTTCCCCAAAGTAATTAATTATATTCATTCACTAGCAACCCAGTTTGGGCAAATTGACCAGATTTTCTTGGTGGTCAAAATTTTATTTTGTGCTGGATAGGGTTTATGGCTTTGGTTAGAAACCCTTGAACCAGTAAAATTGCTACCTGGCCAAATCCTAATTCAGCACCTGATCAAACAACTTCTTTTTCTAGAAATCTCGTGTTGTTCTTAATTGCCCCACATGACCATAATGACAAGATGGTCCATTGAACAAATTGTCTATTGTGGAATGAATGAAGGGCATGCAATAGTAGTCTCAAAATGAGTTTCAGTTAAATAGAATAGATGAAAATGAGTATTGAACGATTGATTTATATAAACAATCTGCTCAGTAACTTTATAGTCCAAAATGTAATCAATCATCAATTCAAAAAATTGACGTTGCAATATTAATGTTCATTTCAACACGATGTGCTATATAAAGATAGGTGTTGATTGGTTTGTGATACTCGGTATTCAATCTTATTATCATATTATTATTTAACTTCTTTTTCTTTCTTTTCTTTTTCTTTTTTGTTTTTTTTTGGTCTACTTCAACTAATAAGGCTATTTACTTTAAAAAAATTAAGGCTATTTACTAATTCATTTATTATTTCCAATATTGTTCAATAAAAACAGTTTGTAACTTGGAATGTAACTGGTGGTTTATTAAAAAAAATCACAATAACTGTGCGCAGGCTAAAAATCCAACAACATAATAAGAAAGTAAAAGGTAACCGGAAACGGAGGTAAGGGTTAGCCGGTCATAGAGGCACGTGCAGCATGACATAGTTTAAATTTTTGTGGTGCCCGTGAACACGCGGAATGACACGTGACTATTCTCTCATCTAGTGGTGGGGGTGACTGGTGAGGTTTGCAGCTGGCCCCACCCGCACACACACTCACACACAAAGTCATTGGTATTCACAATACACGATAAACTTATTTTTTGAGTAAATTGTACTACTAGTAGTATATACTTAGTTGTTAAACCGCACGACGTGCGCATTTATTCATATACATTTAAAAAGCAATATGTCAAATTTTAAATGTTTTCAATATAAATAAAATTGTTGAATTGCAATACGAAATTTTATATAAGAAAGAATGAATTAGATCATCATCTCGTAAAATAAATATTGCACTATAAAGAAATAAAGGCCTTAATGCAAATATAAGATGGAGACATGATTTTGTCCAGAATGACTTATCATTAAAAAAATTATAATTCTTATTATTATCATTCAGGAGTTTTATATCATTAAAGTTCAGAAACAAAAATGGTTTTGTTCAGCGTTGCCACTGGTGGTTGGCACAAATTTCCCTTTTTCTTAAAAAAAATTATATTAAAACTGCTTTAAAGCCCTATCTTATAGTAAATAAATGTGGATATAAAAAAATAAAAAATAAAAAAACGAACGTGAATCTTCAACGCCTCCATTTATAATCCCACAGTAAATCTCATCTAGCGTCTACAAAGTTCTAACCCATGAATTTCAATAAAATATGAAAAAACCACCTTCAGAAAATTAAACATACTTATTAACTCACATACCTTGCACGTCACTATTTATCGAGTGAGAAAGCTTTTGTTCCAGCAGTAGATTTAATTACCCTGCTAGTGAAATCCATATCTAAAAATTTATGAGAATATATATTTATATATATATATATATATATGTATATAACTTATCGTTTATATTTTTTCCAACATATTATCATAGTTCGCGATGAATTTTATCGTGACTATTAGTTCTTCATCTCTTCATTGCCTTAATTTATAACAAACAGAAATTTACAATCTACAATATGTCGATACTACCAGATTTATGAAAACAATCACTGTTACACGATTTACCTAGTTAATTGACCACTCCCATAAAATCGTCACTATCAAAAATTTTCAGTGAAAAAACAAACTCATCGCACGGAACAAAAAACAGATTAAAACGTCTCATTAGGCGTTGATTTGTTTTCATGGAAAAGAAAATTTTTTTAACCTTCTAAATTTATGAAAATCAAAAGCATACGATTGAATGCTACAAATTTACCTCGTGTGTTATGTGTTTTCGCATAGTAGACAATGAAGCTGTAAGCATCGCCTCCTGTTAACAAACATTGAAAGAAAAAATGGTTAGCAAATGCATAAATTTGAAAAAGTGTCAAAAATCCGACAACAGTAATGCATGAATAAACTTTTCTTATGACCATTTCAAATACATATATACTCCTTTCTACGTGCGGTTTTCCAGGGATTAATTTGATAAAATTTTGAAAAAAGATAAAGTCATTATAAAATTTTCATTTCAAAAATTTATTCAAAATTCTAACCTATGATATGTTTTGAACACGTAAGAGATCAGATTCCGTGATCATATTCGAAACAATTAATGTTGATTGATTGGTTTTAAATAAATTTAGGAATTATGTTCATTTTTTTTGGATGAGAAATAATTATTTTCAGAAATTGTGGAAAATCATCCCATATTGTTTCTTCAAATTTCTCTCCATTCAATTCACGACATTAATTATTTATTAATATTGATTGATTGGTGTCCATTACTATAAAATTAAGTATGATAAAATTATTTCCATAAAATCTCAAGGACTTGTAATGTAACTGCTTAAATTTTTTTTTTGCCATTTTCTATAAAAACGCCACGTAGAATTTTATCCTACGTGGCACATTTAGAAATCTTTTTTTGTATTCTCTTTATGGTTTCTCTCTTAGTATAATATATTACTAGATGCTTGCTCCAGATGAATGCACGGGGTGTCGCTTGTATTTTTAAATTAATTAAATAAAAATACGAATCATTCTTAAAAGAATAAAAAAATTAGAAGAATAAAAAATCGATTGAAAGGACAGAAAGTAAGTTATTACACATAAATCTATGCCCAAATTTACAACATTTAATTTATAACAATTAACTTATGCCAGGGTTTACATAAATCATAAACCAATATCTACAACAAAAGAATAATAAAAAAAATCATCCTTAAAAAATCAAATTTCTTTCATGAAAGGTTATTTATTCTCTGTTGTAAAAAGAGATGGATTGATAATTGATGTCAGATTTTAAGTAATTGATATAAAGGCCCGGGTGTGAGAGAGGAGCGAAATGGAAGAAATTCTTTGAAATTGGAGATTAGGAAGACATTACTGGTGTTTCACTTGATTTAAGGGGATTTCCTTATATTCGATTTTATCAACTAAATATTGTTATTTTAAGGGATTAGTATATACCTATAATTAAGATATTTTTATATAGCTATAATTAAGGGATTTATGTATTTATCTATTCTATATTTTTTTTCTGATTAGTTAGAGTGCCATGTGTCAAAAATAATTTTGTACTGAAAATAATTTTTGGCGGAAAAATTTTCATTGTGGTGCTGACACATGACTTTTTGTTTGCTATTTTAATTAAGTACTATAGATGGATAGATATACATCTTGTAAAATCACCAAAATCGACAGCTGACCCAAATCAGTCGCTAATATAGCAGTACACTGCCAGCAGACCACGTGTCTTCCCCCCTCCCATTTACACATTTTTCTTTTTTGCTTCATAATTTAGAGGAATTTTTGTATCTAAATAATATTTATATTAATTTTGGGAATGTATTTATTGAGGGATGAATTTTTTTCTACGTGAACACAACATTGTATTAAAAGGGGCCCAAATTTCAGTTTAAATTAAACCAATAAAATAAGATCTTTCCTTATATGTTATATATATAGTTATTTTTATCCCAAAAACCAAAAAAAAATAAAAATACAACAACAAACTTAATAGATTTTTCTTCTGTTGATATGTGTGTATATTTATAGACCACTTTTGCATTGGATTGTTTAGTCTCCGTGGCTTTTGTTCCACGACTAGTTTCAAGAAGTTATCAACCCATTGGATGATTGGATTTTCTTATGCTCTTGATATTATTAGTACACATATATCGATCTATTTTTCCAACCAAAAAAAAAAGGAAAATAAAGTGATGTTACTTTTATTTGCTGCTAATTAACAGGAGCCAATACATGAATGAAACCACGTTTGCCTAACAGAGGAAGTTTCATACTAAATTGGTCAACCCTAAACAATTCACAATCTGCAATAGTCATTTGGAAAGCAGGGGTTGACTTTTTTTGTTTATAAAATCGAAAATGATATTTTCAAATTAATTTATGTCCAGACTATTGTGCAACTTTCATTAATTGCCAAGTTCTTTTACTTTATTTTATTTTATAGTAACAAAGAAGTAAATCCTTACATCACTAACGTTATTACACTGTGTGAGGTAA